ACTTTGGTCCTTGTTCACAGGATGTTTGATAGTAGATAGCAGTTTTGGAATCCAACCAAGAAGTAACGCTGATGATTAAAGAATAAGAAATGAAAGAATGTTTACTGCATTTACACTGTTTGTTGAAATGAATAGTCTAACCTGTGATATGCATTTGAAGACATTCCACATTAGGGTTGTCAAAAAATTTAAAAAATCTGATACTAAAACCCAGTATTGAAAATGCATACTTTTGTTTAACAATTTAATAAGTATTGGTACTAAAAAAATCCCAAAAATGTGAGAAAATCTGACCTTTCTTGAAGAGTCTTAGAGCAGTCTTGAACTTTATCAAGACCATCAAACCACATTGTAACTTAAAGCTGCATTGTGTAACTTTTCTGGTGGAGGATCAGTCAAATGCTTTTCTCCATGCAGGGTTCTCACTCTTTTTCTCTGAGAAAATTTCCAAACTTTTCCATGACTTTTTCATGACCTAAAATGAATTTTCCATGACTTTACAGCACCTCCATGTGTAAAATTGATCAGACTTTTAGGGCTAAATATGAAATGTTAACCCTTTCCACTCACCTTAATCTGTAATCCGTAAGGGAATACATTTTAAAAGTAACCTTCCCAACACTGTTTGTTTACCCAAAATACTGAAAAAACATGCTTGAAAAAGGCCAGAACACAAATAAAATGTACTCACTTAATATACTGACTCATAAGTAAGTCGTGAATAAGTCATGGACCGAGTGCATAACAATTTTCTCTAATTACGTACTGTTTTTATTATTACCAACCGTCCCAAAGTGAGTGAGGGTGTCCCAGTTTTTGAAATTCTGGTCACCCTAACATAGGCAAGAAAAAATAAATACATCAAATACCAATAAGTCTGAACCTTAATGAGACTCACCACAGAGCAGCAGAGTGAAGAGCATTGGTCCACAGTACATGTCTGCTTTTCCCATGAGGCACTGCTCTATCTCTACACCCAAAACACCAAACTCTGCAATATTTAAGAGCCCAAACTCCAAGTGAAGATGTAAAAAGTGAGTGAATAAACAAATAGATGTGAGGGAGGTTGTATTTGATCAGATTGAATCGTAAGCACCTTATTTGGATATGCACTCGATGTCACAAGCACATAAATATTCAAAGTAATTTCATTTTCCAAACCAGAAAGTTAAACAAATCTTTAAAATGCAATCAGTTTGTTTTGTTTAGAGTAAAGTGCATTATCTATCTTTCCTGGTATTCCACATGCTTGTCTCCATAGAATTTATTGCTTTGCCTGCAATGTTCCGCAGTATGGATTTAAAGTAGGCCTATCTATCTTTCAATTATTCATTTGGTTCTGTCCACAGTGGCGTGCTGCTAGCTCACTGTGAGGCACAGCGAACACAGATTTTTAATTAAAATGTGAAATATAAAACAGCCAACCACATCAAACTAAAAGTAAAGACAGCCCGATTATTTGTTTGTTACTTTAGTTTTTGGCAGAATTTGAATATGTACTATTCCTCAAAATTAGCCTTAGTAATGAGACAAAAAGATGTATGTTTATTATCTCTGAAGTGTCCTCCAGTGAAATATTCACCTCATTTCTGAAGTGTTTAACATGTAGTGAGGGAAACCCAGCCACAGCTCTCTGCTCATGATTCACTCTTGTGCACAGAGCCAATTACAGGTGATTTTATTGTATTTTTGGCTGAAATGTTACATGGTGGGGCTTTAAAGCATCATGTTATAGTTGTTTCCCTTCACCCAGAGTGGTATTTAGAATGATTCGTGCATAACTGAGTAATCTCTAATCACTTATTTTCAAGATGTCATATTGCTGATAAGTCCCTGTTTCACCACCAACAGTACACACCCACTGTCACGTACACACTCTGATCTCCTGTTTTATTTTCTTCATCACTGATTAAGGATTTGGCAACATTGTGTAGTCATTTTGGTTCAAATGAAAAAAAAAAAAAAAAAATCCACTGCTTGTTAGTGTGATGTGCATCTGTTCACAGGAGGGGGCCACAGCTCTTTGCTGTTTACGGCAATGTCAGCAGCTAATGGGAACTGCAGTTTTCTAACATAGAAGACAGCAGACTTGTTTCTTTTATTACATCATTTTAGATGAATGCTGACATCTAAAATGTCTAATCTCTAACACGATGATCCATGGGTGTCATAGATTATAACTACAGAGCAGACACAATCACAGTAGATGTTCTTTAAAGTCTACAGAAGACAAGAGCCACGACACACAACTCAAGACATGTTCAATCTCGAATGACAAACCACAGTTCACTATTCTCTGTGCAATTTGTACATTTGAATTGATATGTAAAATAGATCAGATTTGCTTTCACCTTATTTTGCCTATAAACATTTGTGTTGCTGAACGGCCTCTCAAAATTGGCTGAATATCCAAACCTATTTGACTTGCAAAAAAACAAATTTGAACTTAAGCAACGTCTGAACCTACTGAGTGACTTTTTTATTCAGCTTGTTTATATTTATATTTCTACTTCAACTGTACAAGGACCCAGTGCATTTATTAACATTTGTGTGCATGTAGAGATCAGAGGGGTAGGAGCCTAATCAGTTACATTTACTTGAGTAGGCATACTAAAGTACTTTTCTAGCAACATATGCTTTTACTGTTACTTGAGTAATATTTTTATTGAAGTAACAGTACTCTTATTTAAGTAAAAGTTGTGCTTCCTCTTCCCACTCTGAGTAAGTCTACAGTGATAAAAGCTTTATGTGTCAATATATGAAATGATTTGAACATTTGTGTTTCTTGCAGCGCTCCTTCTCATATGGTTTAATTTGTCTGTCCTTTAAAAATACCGTATGTTGTGCATTATTTTATGTTCATCCTTCAAATGACTTTAACTTCAAATTAAAAATCATTATGTCCCAACAGTTACTCTTTAAGTTAATCTAATTTGAGTAGTGGTTTTCCCAATACTTCTACTACTACTACTTAATTCTTACTTGAGCGATTTCATGGACCACTACTTCTACCTGAGTAATATCAATATACTTCTACTGGAGTAACATTACTCTTACTTGAGTACAGTTTTTAGCTGCTCTACCCACCTCTGGTAGATAGATGCTTAATTAGTTCACATGGAAATTCTACTATTGGGCAGAACTAAATGAATTATGTTTTAATAATAAGAAAAGGTAAGTAAATTGCTAAAGATTCTTCTCCTGCCCTAGGCCTAGAGATTATCACTTGTACGTCAGGAGATATTGAACAAAAGCATGAGGTCATTGTATTCGTTCCCTGGAGCTCATGCCGTTAAGGTGTATGTTTCTATTGCACCATGTCTAGCGGCACTACTCTAACATTACAAGAGTCTGAGTAATAATGTGTCATGTCTTGGGTTTTGCATGTAGCTTCCACTGAGCTGCTGCAATCATCTTCATGAAAACAACAGATTCTTAACTGCTTCTTACAGGTATATTAGACTTTTTTGTTTTACCTTGTTTGAAGGCTCGCTGTATTCTGATGGGGGTTCACCAGTTGTTTGTCTCCATAGAGATGTTAACACTTTACCTGAAATGTTTCACAGAATGATATATTAACTTTCTTGCATTCTTTGCATGTTTATTTCTGCTGAATATTATGTTATTTTTATCTATTATAATGTGGTTAAAGCTCACAAGAGTCAATTTTGCATAATATAGAACCTTTATAAAAACAGGCATCCTCCACAGATCTGACCTAAGCTCTAATTTGGCCTAGTAACATCAATTGTTTGTGTCTAGGATACATTTAAAGCAGTCAGACCTATTATGCAAACTTGACTTTTTAGTGCTTTTTACCATATTATAGTTCTTTCCCCTCGTCAATCACTTATTTTCAAGCCACCATATATAAAACTGTATATAAAGATGTAAATATGTTAGGAGGGTACTATCTTCTTATAATTTAAGATAAATATAAATTTTCTTTATTTCCACTAGGCTTTAGATGATAAAGACTTATTGTACTTATTGTCTTTCAGTTGCTAAAATTTTTTTGTATTTTATTTAAACTTTCTTAACATTATTTTTGATAACTTTATTCATATGCATGTTGGCTACATGTCTGTAATAAAAATGATTTCCCCTTGTAGATGAATAAAAGTATAATACTGATTTATTATATTATTTATATAGTAACATTATATATGGTATTAATATTTAAATGTATAATACACATCAGCCCATGTTACGTTATTTTCTGATCTCTGTTATAATGTTAATTGTTTCCACATCAATACAGAAAGTGCTCCACTCTGTTTTTAAACTCCACACACCTTCACTAGAATTATTTGGATAATTTCAGCCCTGGAATTGCCAGTCTCTACTGAACTAAAAGTAAAAGGAGCTGTTAACTTGAACACTACAGCTCATGACATCACAAGGTGGAACAGAGCATTTTGAGCTTTGGAGATGTGGACAGACTAATAACAAAGTTTGAAGAAGTATGAACATTATAAAACTGAAATAAAGCTCAATTTTGTGTAATAGTGGACGTTCAACCTGTGTGAAACCTAATATATGCAGTTTATTTATTTTACCATAATTGTACAATGTTGTGCTGAAGTTTTAATATACATTTATGTTGTCTTTTGACTGCACATTTCTATTCTCTTGCTGTTTTTATACTATATGTTGCAACACTGGAATTTACCCATTGTTGGACAAACAAAGGTTCTATTGATTATCTTATCTTAAATTTTAAAACCCTGCATACTGAGCGAGAGAGCAAAACATTTCTTGACTATTGCCCAATAGCCTAATAGAGCCTCACAGACCATTCCACTCTGTGCAGAGCTTAGTAAAATCGCCCACCTGTCCACTAAAACCCCACCTCCACCACCAGACTCTATCTCACCAGGGCAGGGGATTTTAATCATAAACCTGACCTCACAAATCCATCCGTGCGCGCTTCGCTGCTAACGAGGGGCGTGCGTAATGCGTAACCGTGCCACCACCACCACCACTCCCCTCTCCACTGACTCCCAGCAGCCGCTAATCCCTTTCCCTGCGCGCATCCTGGAACTGGGAGGAGGAGTAGCTCGGACCATGATTTCTGGGATCGTGTTGCCAGGGGGAAGGTGGCACCGTCGGGGACTTGCGTTTGGAAATGACAGCTGCGTGGACGGAGAAGAAGCACCACCACGGGGATCTTCGAAATAGTAAACAGACAAGATAACGATTAAAGGTCTCCCTCGCCTCGCCGTGGAAAGGGTACGTGTGTCGGTGCGTGTTTTTTTTTTTTTTTTTTTTTTTTTGGAGGGGGCGATCGGACCCAGAATGAAACCAGGCGTGCGATCTGTGGCACATGTTTTGCAAAAATACGGAATGCAAAATACGTGCAAGTTGTGCGTTAGCCTCTATCCCTTTGGCACGGGCTTTGGAAATAGCCTGACGCGTAATGGTGCTCTTGCGTTGCACTAGTTCCACAAATGCACGAAAATGAAGCATCGTATCATATCTATAGATGAGTTAATTTAATGTGCATGCCTGGGACAAATCTTCAACGCGCGTTAGACTTGTTACGAGCCCCAAATCCCGTGCAATCCAACATGGAGCGGCGGATTCGCTCACACCGTGGGGCTTGGAAGAAGTTAGCGTGTTAGCTCGCGGTTCCAGGGCTACTTGGGAATGCATGGGCAGCTAGCATTCAGGCTACAACCGGGTAACGATGGAGGTTTCCGTGTGAATATTTGCGTGCGGGCTGAGTTGTGTCGCTGCACCTGTCTGGCCGTAGCCACCTGTCGTTAGCCCCGGCGTGCTAATGATTAGGCTAGTTAATTGCCCGATAAATGAACTCGTTTCCCGGGCGGCTTAGCTCTCCTACGTGACTCATGCCTCGTACCGTTCACTTATGGTTACTCAAGCGCTCTACAGCTAAGATGGATTGTTTAAGTATTGTTTTAAGAGCTGTGAAAGTATTAATTAGCTTGCTTTTATCCCGAGACAACAGGGTGGCTAATTAGCGCTGCTATTAGCTTAGCGGCTAGATTGACCCAGTTGAGTTGGACAGAAGCCATATTGACATGCCACCTGACTGAGATTTGTTTACATCGAGGATTGAAACGATTTCCTCTCGCGTTGTCTCCATAAATACATGAACTATTGTCCAAATACGTTGCCAAATCCGTGGTCCCTTTTTTACAAACTCGTAATATGAAGATTCTTAAATAATTAATGGCTTATTGTCAGTGTTGGGAAGGTCACTTTAAAATGTATTCCCCTATAGATTACACATTACATACACCAAAATGTAGTTTGTAATGTAATCTATTAAATTACTTAAAGTGAGTAATGTAATCTGAATACTTTGGATTACTTGATTTTCTATAGAGTAGCAAAGACTCGGATATCTTCACATAAGATGTTTTGTCTGCTAAAAGACAATAAAAAGCCCAGTTTTTCCTTAATCATATTAAAACTATTATTGATAGAAGAGGAGGAGACATGGTCCGAGCGGCATGGTTTCGTCCTGTTAAATCCCGTTTTAGTCCTGGTTTAGACCTGGTTTAGACCTGGTTTAGATCTGGTTTAGATCTGGTTTAGATCTGGTTTAGACCTGGTTTAGACCTGGTTTAGACCTGGTTTAGACCTGGTTAAATCTAGTTTAGACCTGGTTTAGCTCTCACTTATACCTGGTTTTAGTCCTGGTTTAGTCCTGATTTAGACCTGGTTTCGATCTCGTTTAGACCTGGTTTTAGTCCTGATTCAATCCTGATTTAGTCCTGGTTTAGACTTGGTTTTAGTCCTGGTTTAGTCCTGATTTAGACCTGGTTTAGATCTAGTTTAGACCTGGTTTTAGTCCTGATTCAATCCTGATTTAGTCCTGGTTTAGTGTCCGGCAATGAGTGGAATTACCAAAAAAAAAAAAAAAAAAGTCCAAAATGTGAAAACAGGAAAATACCACCATGTAATCCATTTATTTCAACAAAGTAACTGTAATCCAATTACCACTCATTGAAACAGTAACTGTAACCGAATACAGTTACTCATAATTTGTACTCTGATTAAGTAACTCTGGTACATGTAATCTGTTACTCCCAACACTGTCCATAAATACATGAACTATTGTCCAAATCCGTTGCCAAATCCGTGGTCCCTATTTACAAGCTTGTAATATGGAGATTCTTAAATAATTAATGGCTTATTGTTGCCAAGTAGTTGCAGAAAGCCTCTCAAATGAGGACAGAGCATCCAGTGTTTATACTTTGCAGCCCATGTCGTCAACATTCCCTAGGGACAGGGTGACCAGCCGTCCCTATTTACCCCAGGACGGTCCAAGTTTTGAGTCCTGTGTCCCCTGTTCCAGCAGATTTCTCCAAAACCATTCATTTGTCCCTCTGTTATATAAGAAATGTCCCAGTTGTCCCTGTTTTTGAGTGATTTCATACCCACCAATAGTTATGCTCTCTGTGCAGCTTTGGAAACTGCTTTGTTTGTAAAATGTGCTATAGAAATAAAGTGGATTTGGGTTTAACGTGCGGAATATATTGTCATTTGTTTAGCTAAAACACAGAAAACGGTGCTTGGAAATGACTATAAGGCGACAAAATGCACCAACAAAAGTCGAGAGTTGCGAGTTGAGAATGGACAAAGTGATGCTCTCTTTTCTAGGGATGTGCAAAAATATTGAAATATTGATATATTCTATAGTTTAATATGATGATACAGTATCAATGTGGGGGAAGAATATTTTTTTGGTTTAGTTTACTCAATTATTTTGTTACAGCACTACAGTTTTGTTGCTGGTTTAGAGGAAGGAAACTCAGTGACACATCTGACATGTTCACTGTTTTGTTGATTAAAATGATTGTGTTTCATTTTCACTTTGTGCAAGAAGTGGTTTAACAAAGACTTTTAGTATCACAGCCATCATTTTTTATTGAATAGCATCAAATTAGTTTGAAATATATCGTATCGAATTGAAAGTGCGCTGTATCGAGACATGAATCCTATCATGGCCTATGTATCGAGGTATGTGTCATATTGATACCCAACTCTTCTCTTTTCACAATTTTATTTATTCCAATATCCCAACCCGGATGTGTCCCAGTTTTAAATTTTGAAAATCTGGTCACCCTACTGAGGGCTGTGATGCGAACCTTTAAATCTATTTTGGATTTTTTTCTTTAGTTTTCAGATCTTAAAACCTTTTTAATGGCTGTGCTTGTAGATTTCATGGTATTTCTTAAAAAGAAGGTGGGAAAAAAGTGCTAAATTTAAGTTCACATTATGAGGGGGGAAAAGTGTTTTTCTATAATTCCATTTGCAAAATAATTATTGACACAAATTCAGTACAATAACAGAAATGTATAAAGCAAGAAGTATCTCTCTGGCTCAAACCTGGTAATAACTTTTAATTGGGTTGGTTTATTTCAGTGATACATGTGAAACAAAGGAGCTCATTGGTCCATTGTTTGTCTGATGGGAGAAAAGTTTAATTTCACACTAAATACTGGTCCAGAGTTTAGTGCTTTGCTCATTGATTCTGCAGAAATTCACAATGTTTTTCAGTCCCCTGCGATATTTTTTCTTTTTTTTCCCCTTTTAAGCAGACACTTGTTTTGATATGGATGGAGCATGCGTGTCCCTGATAGGCTAATCCACTTGCCAATCACACCCATCTGATTTTTGGGAGATTCAACAGTGTCCAGACTCACATCTTCATGAAGTATGGGTATATTCATCTTTTTGCAGTTTATTGTGCTGCCCTAAACTTGGACTTAGATGCAATTTCTATAGGCTACTCATATCCTACCATACCTCAAAATGTGCCCATTTACAAATAATAGGCCATTTGTAGCTGCCCCCATCTCAGTCAAACCTCATAGTTTTGCATATTATAAGCCTCCTAATTAGTTTACGTTGTAGTGAAAGCCTTTCTCACACTTGTTGCTAAATGGCTTACTATTACCTACATTTGTCACTAAATTGTTTGTAAGCTTCTTGCTAAGTGACTGACTGCCATTTATAACGCTGATCCTGTTGGTATGCTTACTATTTGCCAAGTTTATTTTAGCAAACCATAATCTTCTCAGCCATAATAGCATGAACAGTAAAAAAAAAGTTTGTAGTTTTTGCTCAAAATGTATACTTAAAACAAGGTTGGGAATAGAATTTGTGTAGTGTTTTATATTTTTGCTTCATGCTCTATGATAAAAACTGTGCTCTACTTGTGGTTGTGGTATAGCTTATATATTAAACACAGACATTTTCTTCTATAAATGTACCTAGATATAATTATGGACCTCTGGCAGCCCGTTTGTACTGAAATAGCTCATGCACTTCTGTAATTCCAGACACATCAATTGCAGCCTTGTGGTTCTCTGACGTCATATTTCCATTCAAAACAAGCGTCCTTTAGTCCCATGATTAACACATGGCAGGTATTGTAAAAACACTCCATCTGTGCTAACAAGGTGTTTTTGTCACTATAGCTCTAAAACAGAGTTTGTCATATTTATATTCTAAGTATATTCATAACACCATTGTTCTTATTTAGGTCATATTCTATAAAAAAAATGCACAACTTCTTTTTGCATGTTTATTCGGGAGGTGTCAGGTGGATTTGACAGTGCTTTGTGAGTAAATAACTATGATGTTTGAGCAACCAATATCTGTGAAATTTTATATCTGAAGATTGTTTTCTTTGTAGATAAAGATAAAGTCATCCCCAGACTAAACTAGGTCTAACCCGGGACTAACCTGGGACTAAACCAGGTCGAGCTCAGGCCTAAATGTGGACCGAGCCTGATGATGATTCCATGTCTTGAGCTTTGTGTTGTAAAGTTCTAATCACCCCAAGTTTGTGCTGCAGTGGATGTCTGGAATCAGAAAGCTGGTATTGATCTGTGTGTTCCAGTAGCAGTACTTGTGGAGTTTCTCGTCCTCCTGTGATTGCAGCACAGTGGAGAAAGGCCAGGTGCTTCTCCTTGGCAGCCTCACGTGTGTTTTTGTGTCTGGGGCCACAGCATTCATATGCTCTTTGAAGGCTTTCACTTCTTGTTTTCTCCTTTTCATACAAGTTCACAAGTAGCTGAGGCATGCTAAAATGAATGTTACAGACTAAAGTAATGATTCACAGGAGGAGCCTGTGTTTAGAAAGGGAGATGTTTGCATTTCAATGCTAAAACTAATGCAAATTTTTTCCTGTAAATAGTTAATAAATTAAAATAACAACTCAAACTGAAGTAATCTACATATAAAATAAGCAGGGAGCCTTTTCATTAGATTTTTTTTGTATTTTAATTGGTTGTTTATCTTATATTTTACACTTTTGATAAAAGTTGGCATTAGCTTTGAGACACAGAGAGCTAGCTAGCGTGCTGCTTTGAGATTTGTTTTTAAATGTCAAGATTAAATTTAAATGTCAGAAACAGGATTAAGTTTAAATAATGAAACTAAATGAAACAAAATGCTTTTGTATGTTTCAGAGATGGAGACACTGATGAGTGCGGTGGCCCCGCGCTCCCCGGCCCCTGCCAAGAGGCCCTCAGAGGTGGACTTCAGATCCGGGGCCTCGCTGGAGCAGCTCTCTGCACAGGTGACCGAGCTGGTGCACCAGGAGCAGGGGGAGTTTGGAGACCAGACTGCCTTAGAGGTCCACACCGCCAAGGACTTCATCTTCAACATGCTAGGTACTGAAGACATTTTACTTACGTCTGGTTCTTACAGTTTAGTATGATTAAGTCAGATTTGCCTGTTTATAAAGCATTTTTATTATGAAGCAGGAAGTAACACTAGTGCACTCTTAGCATGCTAGTTGTTGTTACTTATTGTGGGTGCAAAACTCTGGCCTCTGAAAGTTGTGAACAATGCCTTTAAACTCATGAAACACATTTTGACAGAAGTACAAGATCTGAAACAGAGTACTGCTTTTTCAAATACCTTTATCAAAATAACAAAAAAAAAAAACAAAAACAAAAAAAAATCCCTAAAAAATATATATATAATAAAAAAAAAAGTTAAATCATGTCAGACCAATGGATCATAACTTTTTACACCAAGTTCTTCTGCTTGAAAAATTTAGGTCCCACCAGAACTAAACCTGGAAGAGTTTCACCAAATCTAAAGCAGGATTTGCATTGATATTGACAAAATGATTAGGACATTTTAGCATACTTTATTTATTATTCAGTGTCAGTGTATTCATGTGATGCAGTTGCTGCTTTTAGAATTCTGCCATGTCTTCATCTTAACAAGCACAGTGTGAGAAGTGCGTGCTCTTGGTGCTGCTTGTTATTTGCTGAAGGTGGTTTTGTTTGAGCGCTCTGCCCACACCTGCTCTCTCTCTCTCGTCTCTGGGCCCTCGTACATGTGGAGACCTGAACTCTGCTGAGCTCACTCCGGTATTATTATCAAGAAATATCTGTGTTTTCCAAAATAGCCGCTGTACTGTGGTAGTGCTGTCACAATACCACAGTGGTGTTTTAAACAATATAATGCAGGGAGAGGTGATATATCGGTGCCACTATTGCTATCTTCCGATATTCGATACTGATATTTGTTCTACCGCATTCTCTTCGTGCCATGTCTCAGTCCCAGATTGTCTTCAGGGCATTAGTTTTGTCTTTTTGAACAGATTCATGAGTCAGAATGGAAATAGAAGAGACACTGCAATTTATAATTTATTATATGTCAAATAAATTATTACATTGTGTTATTTTTACATACGTAAATTGTAACTTCATCATCTTTACTTCAACTTAAGATAAATTTGTGGGCCTTACTATGGATTTTAAAGGTCTTTTATTACACTAAATGGACTCTCGCAGGCTTTAAGACATATTAGAATGTGTAGAATGTGAAGTTGTGTTTTGTTTAAGTAAACCTTTATTATTAGACTGTTTGCATCCCCAAAGTTCAAAATGCTCTGTTCTACCTAGTGAGGTCATAAAGCTGTAATTTTCCTTTTTACCTTTTAGTTCAGTAGAGATTGGCAACTCCACAGTTGAAATTATCCAGATGATTCTAGTGAAGGTGTGTGGAGATTAAAAAAACAGTGGAGCACTTCCTATATTACGCCAGGACATCACAAGGTGGAACAGAGTGTTTTCTGTTGGAGAGAATTATACGCAGGGTTAGATCAGATCCTTTTAGAAGCTCAATATCGGTATCAGAAAATATCAGTTATTGGCCACAGCAATAGGCCAAATATTGGATATTGGTATCGGCTCAGAAATCCAGAGCAGTCACTCCCAGATGTGTCATTTTCTGCACAAAATAAGAGCCGTTTGTTTTGAATTACCATGCAGTAGTTTTGATAAAGGAAAATGTCATTCACCAATTAACCTTTCAGTATTGGTAAAAAAAAAATAAAAATGCTAGTTTTAATCTGAGATTTAAAATATTTACTATAGATACATTACATTCAAACTGATATGAAGTTTCCGTACCAGTATTTATCCTACTTGTTGTGTGTTCCGTGTTTCTATTATTGGCTCTACATGGTGATTATGGAACAGTTATTTTGACGTGAGTGGATTTGAAGTGATTGCTTTGGTGTTAACTCCATGTATGTCACCCTCAGCTGTTCACAGTGGTATTTACGCCTTTAGCATTCATTCTCTGCTTCGTGTCGTGCAACTAAATATAGGTTCTTCCAGCAAATATACACTATAGAGATTAACAGTTCAGATGTAATGGTGCCGCCTTCCAAGCTCGAGCTCATGATTACTCAGTGAAAACCAGTTAAAACCGCTTAATTCCACTTAAGCGTCTTTAAAGGAGAGTGCCAAATTGGCAGGTTCACTCCAACTGCAAAGCTTCGAAAAACAAAAAAAGCCTAATTTATGATTTTTCCAACAGGTGTTGAGATTATGAGGAAATTTCAGATTTCTGTTTTAGAAATGGGATTCTGTTCAAAGTGGACGTTTTAAACTCAGGAAGATTAATTTACAAAAAGATTGAATTATGAGCTGAAAAACTATAATGCAAGTTTGCATTATAGTTTGCATTTTGCATTGCATTTGTGCCGGTTAGCTGTATCGGCGCTTAGCATTCGCATTAGCAATACAGTGACACCATAGAACTATAATAAAATCTGGAAGGTGAAACCAAGATGACGTCGTATGAATCATTTTCTATTCTGCATTTACTTCCTCAATAGGCTGTATTCACGCTTATGTCACAAACTAGGAAGACTGTTCACGGTAATAAGTCTGACAAAATCTAGAAAAAAATAAAAATGGCCCAGTTTTCTTCATCTGCCATTGTAGTATTCCGTTTAGAGATGTGCTGATAGCCAAATTAGGGTGACCATATTTCCGTTTGTGAAAACCCGGACACCTTCCCGGGGTAGGGGGTGGAGCCTCGACATTGAGCTACTCTCACCTCGCAACCTGTGCACATGGCCTCCCACTTGTCCGGAATGGGCTGGAAAACGGAGAATTTCTTATACAAGTCATTGTTAAATGCGCATTTGTACTTTGGCATGTTGCAGACTGACTGACTGTTGGCGTCTGCTCGCTCCTTCTGAGTTCCAGAGCTACGAGAGACGCTCAGTGTAATGGCCCAATGAACGGTTATGAAAACCCAGACATTTCCTTCACATAAAAAAAAAACAAAAAAACCCCCAGACGCCCAGGGCAGGACACAAAAAATTGACATGTCCGGGGAAAAACGGACGTTTGGTCACCCTAATCCAAATCTCTCGGTACGATAATATTTATTGTGATATTTTGGAGAGGCTTATATAATTGTAGGTAGGAGACTTTTTTGCTTTTAAAATACTTTGACAAGTTTTGGTGTGAATTATTTGTCATAATCCGAAGAATTCAAGTAAAACATTTCTTCATGTTGTTTGCACTGAAATGAACCATGGGATATGTAGTTCCCGATGTTTATAAGACTATACTACTACTATACTACTATAAAACGTGCATTTAAGTAAAGGAACTTGTGATTTGATATATTGTGACAGCTCACGGTATTATTGCGAGACTTAAGACTATACGATTCATGATATTTCGGTTATTGTTACATCCTTAGTTCCGTTATGTTTGGCGACTCAACAATTCCAACCACACCTCAGTTTTCATCATTTCTCCACTGACACACAACTCCGAGTGCACTGGTACATGTGATTAGAAGAGATCAGGGACAAACTCCAGATGATTCCAAACAGCACATACATCTGCAGTCTACATTTTACCACTGATCACATTTACTTCAGTGGGTTTGATCACAGTCGGTCGGTGAGACAAGTGTCGGGAACTACACCGGAAGTCGTCATCGCATGTTTCCAAACTTCTTCATGGTTTGTGACATAACATAAAGTTAACATGAAGAGCCTATACGGGTGAGCTCCTCCCATCCGTGTGAAGTCTGTAATGTGCACGGCGTGGAGCGTTTGGACCTATCAGAGTGAGAACTGGTGCGGGCTCAGAGCAGGTCTCCGAGTCTTGCAAAGATCACTTTTAGGCGCTTTGAAGATTTAAAAAGGTTAAAACGTTGTGAAAATTCGAAAAGAATCCCTATAAAATTGTTCCAGTATTTAAATACATACACATCCTAACACATGCTAATACGCACTTCCTGATTACCGGACATTTAAAACACTTTCTTATTAGATGCAGGCAGCACACTGGAGACATATTTTGACCTCGAGCTGCTTATACATTATATCTGTACACATTTTGCTCAAATACATGGGAAAAATAGTGTACAGGGCTTTCAAAGTTGGTGTTCATTCATGTTCCCCACTGGGCCTTCCACACGCTGTCAGACTGGCCTCACAAACCAGAGCTGGATTAAACCTCTGCTGGAGCGTGTTTTTTTATTTTATTTTTATATTTAGTTGCTCCTCACTGGCTGACAGATCCGAGACAGACCCTTATTTACTCTGCCTCGGAGTAAACAGTTGTCTTTGCCTGGGGCGAGTTGGCAGGCGCCGCTGTACCGACCCGAATCTCAGCAAAAAACAAAAGCGGGATGAAAGAGGTAAAAGGATGCAGCTCCAGACCCCCAACCTGGTGATCAGACGTGGGAGCCTGTTAGCTAGCAGGAGGGCTGAGTTTGTCTTACGCCTGAACGGAAATAACGATTGGCCAGGTAGGGGAGGCTTATTCACTTTGCAAGGAAAGGTGGGCCAGCTTGAAATGTATGGATGTAACAATATTGGAATTACAAATGTTGTGTTTTCTCCCCAAAGAGCGTACTGAAAAAACGTTGCAAATTTAAATCACTGTGCACTGTCCAGAGGTGGTAGAGTAGCCAGAAATTATACTCAAGTAAGAGTAACGTTACTTTAGAACAGGGGTGTCAAACTCATTTGGTCCGGGGGCCGTATCCAACCGACTTTGATCCCAAAGGGGCCGAATCAGAAAACTCATGGGATATAAACCCCAAAAATAAAAATAAATTCAAATATTTGTGCAGAGAAACACAAATCTATTACAGAAATCTTTTTTAATTGATGAACTCTTTCTTTTACAAAATATTATAATATTATGAACATCCTGAAACTTTAAGAAAAATACAATTTCAACACAATTTTAACATGAACTTGTATAACATTAACTTGTAGAAATAGGAATAAGTAAATTTTTGTTGTAAAATCCTGCACTCTGCTCCACTTTTCTCATGTTGGACATTTTTCTGATGAGGGTGTCACAGCCAGTCAAAACGATCGTCCTTT